TTATAAACTTTAAATAGTACTCCGTAGAAACAAATTTGATTACCTATATATAGATTAAAGAGGGCAAATATTTATTGATTTATTGACATTCATGTGACAACAAAAATGCAGATCACCATTTCAAAAAAAAAAAATTGAAAGTAGTGGATGGTAACTTTATTTTAGTATTATTTCTTTAGACCTCCTGTGATCTGAAACCTTTTATTTGTTTGTTAGTGTACGTGTCTCACTAAAGTAAACTGTAGGCATGCATGAAAATTATCTGATCTTTAACTTGTGTCATATATATCAACCCGTGAGGACTGACTGCTGGCTGCAACAGAGAACTCGTGATATCACTATGAAGGGTGCTACGTAGCTTAAACATTTTACTTCAAGTCTTCAATCTTTTAGCTCATCTAGGAATATTAGTATCTCACTCCGTAGTTCTCTCTACTTTCCTCATCTATCATCATTCTTTTGCTTACTTCTTGTACGTACTTCGTATTATTTTACAACGTCGTAAAGTTGGCTCATAATCTCATATTGAAAGATTATCCTTCAGATGTTCTTATTAATTTCTTTCATTCACTTCAGAGGTGCATATATCACCTTACTTTAATGTTTGTTTACACTCTACGTGCTCTACGAATTCTTCTCTCTTTAACTATTTTCTTGAAGTCATATTATTTCTTTTCTTATTTATCAAGAGGAAAAGATAAAGCTTCCTACTATACGGTTCAAGACTTCAAGCTAGCAAGTGTACGTAGTTAATTGTTTTAATGGTTATATATGTACTCCGTATATATTTGAAGGTAAAGTTACACTACAAGCAAAGTGACATTCTATGACACACAAAATGTATCAAGAAAAACGGTAAATGTGTCAAGATAGACCCTTTGGAGGATTTGCCAACACACACAAAAAGTGTCACTAGGAACGGTGTTAGGAAAAACCTTTCTTCACACTCAAACACATGTGTTGGCAAATCCCTTGACACTTTTAGTGACACATAAGTGTGTCAAGAAATTTACCAAGTCCTCAATGTTTTATGTGTCAAGGAATGTTTTTGGTGACACACAAGTGTCAAGGAAATTCATGTCTCTTTATTTTAGTGCATAATATACTAGCAATAAATAAATCTATTTCGTGCTAGTATTAATAACAAGAATGTATTGACCGGATAATCTCTTGATATTGAAACTCGAAAGTCATTCAAAAGTATTTGAAGTACTACATAAAAACAAAGTTTACAAGAACAGTTTGTAGGTAAACACATTCAAATTGGAATAAGAAGTCTCAATGCAACAATATACTAAATCTCTATGTAGCTCCTCCTGGTTGATGGCTTCCAGTTGATGATCTATCAGTTGTTGGGGTAGCTTCACCATCAATCATCTACAAAATATGGGGCAGGGTAAAATTTAGTACTCTTTTGTTAAAAAATCGAAGAGTCAAACAAGACATTTGAAGAAAATAATCATAGAAGCCCATAAATCTTTGAAGTATTAAATAATCAAAGAAAGCCATAAACCAAAGAGCCAAACAAGCCATAAATAATCTATCAACCAAAATGAAATCTTCTTCCAATTAACTATACATAGAAAATGCAGGTTGCGATATCAGAAATCATAATCACATATGTGAGCAGAAGACCTAAAATGAAACAATTGTGTTACTATATGGCAAGTACGAACTATGAGTATCATTATTAATAGTAAGCAACACATCTTCACACGATAAATTAATAAATTATCATCAAGAAGAAACCAAGTATAAAGTGGAAATGTTATACCTCAGAGGCATCTAGGACCGGAGTGCACCCGGCAAGAGGGAGAAAAACCTGAAATAATTGGAATATTCATATAAACTTGAATATTTTTTAAAGCAGTTTATTTCTTTGTTAATTGTGAGCTATACAAAAATAATTAAGGATAATAACACTGCACACATTTCCTTCATCCAAGAAACATGCAGCTATCTGTATAATGTTATCTCATTATCTTTATATCATTTTCCAAGCTTAAAACTTGATTATGGAACTTCAAAGCTTCAGTTCTGGAAAAACAATGAAAACATGCATAAAAACTTTAGTTCTGCAAAAATTAAGTCAATTGCTACCTAGTGAAAACAACAAAAGTTTTACCTTAATGCTTGACTCTGGAACTTTAGTTCAATTGAACGTGGAAGATCAAACTCGAGACATCCAGTCATTGAGCAACTTCAGTGAGGCATTTGAATATGTCATCAAGATGAGTTGATCATCTTTTGACAAAATCCTATAGATTCAAGAATACAATCTGAAATTTAATTAAACTATTCATGTACACATTTCATCCTTTAGAACCACAATTCATGTGAGGAGTAAAAGAGAATCTCTATATCTCTCTTCTTCTCCCTACCCCCCTCTCTCTGTGGTATTTAAACTAATAATTACAAGCTAGTAAGCATCACGGTCAAAACAGTTTTGTAATTTAGCCTTCAAATTATGTTTATTGACATTTGACAGAGACCTCAAGTATCCAACAAATGAAACAACTACTAGTAATGGTTGGAAGAAAAGTTAGAGCATTGATATAATTTTATAAAGACAACTTACCAATAACTCATTCATATCACTAGATACTTTGAACCTTGCTCTTTCCTCATAAGAATGCCCCAACAGAAAAAGTGGCCTGCTACCGAGAAGTTCAAAATTAAACAAACATCATTGAACCCATGTAATTGTTTTTACCTAAAAAGAACTATCATATGAAAACCCACATACCTCTTAACAACACACAAAGATCCTTCAACATCCTTTTGACTCTGAAAAACAACAAAAAGAAAGTCTTGCATTTACTTTCTCTTATGAGCCTGGTGCCAAGAAGTGCAATATCTACAAATACATCCCCAACTTCACCTGGATTCAAATTAATTAGTCTTTTCAATCAATGCCTGCAAAGAGTTATTTTTTTATGATTAGTGTGACCATGTCACATGTTAAGAGAGAAATGTTCCGTAGTACAAAACTGCAAATCAAATGGATCTTTGAAGCCACTCCTTTTAAATTTCCAAATCGAGTCATATATGCACCGTAGATATTCAAATTTTATAAGTAGGTTATTTGTACCCCGATTTTAGTAATATCACTATACTAGGAAATAAACAGGTGTTTTCAATTTTCATTAATAAGTAAAAAACATATTGTGATTGGTTGTAGAAGTTATAACACAGAAAATGAGTAAATATTCTAGGATGTTATCAACTCTTCAAATCAGTAACTTAGGTTTAAACACCATAATGTATTGAAGCCCGTATCAGTATTTATCCCCTTCTCTACATGTATGCAAATTATACATGTGTACTCACTCTTATGATCTTATTAATAATCAATATCTTAGTATTATAAGAGAAAAAAGATCATTTGTTATCTCTGAATACTTATCATGTTAGCATCAAGGATAGTAAATCATTCTTTAGAAAATCTCACTAGCTTAAACATTTTTACAAACAGTTTGTAGACAATACAAAACTAAACAAAATCAACGCAAGTTCCTACATCTTCTATCTCAAATACCTCAGAAAAACAATTAAACCAACCCTAGACAAATATCAAGATCACTCTAGCATACAATTAAACAATCATTGAAAAGTAGAGATAATACCACTTTGGCTACCGATACTAACAGACTGAAATTCAATAAATCGTAGAAATTCTGTTAAGGAGCGAATTTGATGGATGATTTGCCGTGCTACAAATCCGCGGATAAGGAAGACCTCGTAGTAGAACAGGCTCCCTCCTCTGACGTCGTAGCACTCCGGTAGTTGACCCTGCAACTTATCAGTCCGATCAGTCTTCCTCTTCCGTCTACAGGCACCGGCGGTTATAGCGAGTGACAACAATGAGTTGGTCGGCGCTCTGCTTTGATCGAGAAGCCAACGATGATGGATTGAGTTGCGATTATTTGGTGCTGTAGAGTAAAACTGCCGATTAAAATATCTTAGGTTTGTCTAATTTGAATCCTTTCCACTCCGTATTGTTTAATAAAGGGTGTCAGCAAAGTTCCAATTTAATAAATCTTGAATACCTTTGTTTCAAAATAAAATAGGGAATACTCCGTACCTTTTTTCCAAGTGGTTAGTATATTTATGTTAGGACAATATTATATAAGCTCCAATAAAAATTAAATAGTTATCTTGTCATTGTCAAAAAAATAGTTATCTTGTCACATAAAAGTGTCAATATATACTAGTTATTGTGACACTTTTACATGTGTCAACAAAAAATGTGTGTCAAGAAATGTAACATTTTTTGTAGTGTTAACAGTAATAATATATGATGATGTTCATACCTGCAGGATGATTTCTTGGAGATTTTTGAGCAGATTCGTGCTGATAGCGTGTTGTGAAATGAAGAAGATGAAGAACAGATTTAAAGGATAGATATATTAATAATAATCTCTAAATTATACTTCTTCTTAATATAAAGATTTCTGAATTTCTATGTTTCTGAATTGCTTGAATAATTTTACAAAGGATTGAATGCCCTATTTATACTAGCCAGACTTGGGATGAATCATCTAAGAATGATTCTACATAATTTGCTGGTAACATTAAACCTAAACATCTGTCTATTACAAGGATTGGAATTGGATTAGTGTCCTGATGACAAGGATAAAACATTCACACTTGTCATTCTCAGGAATTTACAACAAAAATAAGTAATATTTTTGTCTTTTCAATTTTTTTTGAATAATTTTGTCTTTTCAATTTAATTTAGTAATATTCATAGGAAAAGGCCGTGTTCTATAGATCAAGATTAATTAATTAAAATATAAATACATTTTGAAATTAAAAAAATAAAAATTAGATCTAAAAGGTATTTCATCCACAATACAAGATTAAGCATGACTTTTTTTATATCAATTTATTTTCAATATTTAAAAGCATAGATAAATTAACAACTATTACTCTAACATTGCAATTCTAAACTATAAAATAAATAAGATGAAACTAACTATATTAATAAGGTGAGATAATCAAAATAAAGAAACAAAATACGGAGTATAAAGAATCATGAAGTGGATCAACTGAAAAAGAAATGAGTTTAACCTCTATATATGCTTAGAAGTGGCGGAACAATAAATTAAAATAGGGACAAAATTGTCAGACAATGGGCAAAAATGGGTGCGCCAAGTAGTAATGGGGTGCGCGCAGCACGACCGGGGAGAAATTGATAACCATTTGGAGTTAACCATTTATTTTTAGCTTTAAAAACTAGTTTGGTGGAATTAAGCGCAAGAGACTAATGACGGACGGAACGCGGGCATTGGGAGCCGCCAGAGTGTCGAGACCTGCTTCCTTGCTTAGAACTTGCGCCCAGCCTTGCCAGTTGCTGCGACGCCGTCTGGGTTCGCCAATTGATGGAGTTTCAACAGACCGGTTGAAGTGCAAATACAGAGATCAATGGAGACGGTGATTTCAATTGAAGTTTCCTGCGACTATATCAATGAAGGACTGATACTTCGTTTATTCTAGGATATACCGCATCCCTCATTGTATGATTTATTCATCAAAACCAAAACATGCGGCCATGTCTAGGGTTTTCTCCTAGTTTTTTTTTCTGGCGGTGGATTGCTCTATTTGGTCCGGCTTTTGATCACATGTTATCTGCGTTTTTTCAATGAGTGTGTTGAGTTGGAATTGTAGGGGTTCTGGAAACCCGGCCACGTCCCAAGGACTGACAGATATTGTACAAGCACATCGCCCCTCCATCATTTTTCTTATGGAGACAAAAATGTGATGCCAGCGAGCAAAGAAGATTTTCAGATCTCTAGGGTATCAGAATAGTTGTGGCATGGACAGTGAAGGGCAGAGCGGCGGCTTAGCATTGGGCTGGAGGGACGAAGTGGAGGTGGAGGTGAAGAGTTCCCAAGCAAATTACATGGATTGTAAGGTGCGGTTAAACGTAGACGAGCATGTTTGGAGGTTGACTTGTTTCTATGGTTTTCCAGAGACCAGCCGGCGACATGAATCTTGGTCATTGCTGAACGAGCTTGCGGAGAGTAGTTCGTTACCATGGATGGTGATTGGTGATTTCATTGACATTTTGTACACTTCCAAGAAGAAGGGGGGATTACTCATTCTGCATGGAGGTTGAGGGGTTTTCGGGAGGCAGTTGAATCAAGCGCCCTTCAGGACTTTCCTTTTCCTAGTTATCAGTTGACATGGGAAAGAGGCAGAGAAACAATACATTTGGTTGAGGAGAATCTAGATAGAAGTCTGGTAAATGAGAATTGGTGGGAGATGTTTATGGCAACCCAACCGACATCAGTAGAGGCTCCGGTTAGTAGTCATATGGCTTTATTTATAAAAGTTAGTCCCACTGACAATTGGCGCAGACGTAAGCGTTTTAAATTTGAGAACGCCCGGCTAGGAGAAGATGATGAGTGTCACGCCATTGTAACGAACAGTTGGAGTGCAGGCTCCCATCTTTATGTTAGTGACAGATTATCTCTTTGTGGAAAAGAATTACTTCGAAGGGCTAGTTGTAGACAACGGGGTTTTGGGGTGGAAATTGAGGCATGTAAGAGAAGACTGGCTTGGCTGGGGGACAAACAAGATAGGAGGAGCATATCTAAGTTCTTGTGAGTTTGTACAGTGTTGACATCGCTAATGGAAAAAAAAGGATATATACTGGAAGCAGAGAGCGAAAGTTTTTTGGCTACGAGAAGGTGATATTAATTCTCGTTTTTTTTCATAATGTAGTTAAGCAGAGGAGGAGGAAAAATCGTATGATGGGGTTGCGTAGGCCGGATGGGACCTGGACTACTAACCAAGGATTAATGGGACCGATGGTTGTGGATTATTTTACGACCTTGTTCAAGAAAGTGAGGAGGCTATGCTACCTGAGAAAATTGGGAGTTTTTTAAGGTGACTAACAAGAAAAATAGTATGCTGCTTCGACCGGTCACAACAAAGGAGGTAAAAGCCACAGTTTTTGATATGCATCCGGAGAAGGAACCGGGGTCAAACAGAATGAATCTGACTTTTTTTCAAGACATATTGGGATATTGTAGGACCAGAAATATCCAGGTTATGCTTTTCTATTTTTGAAACCAGGATTATTTCTAAAGGATTAAATATAACAAATATTGTTTTAATTCCGAAAAATGATAGACAAGAGAACATGGGGGATTGGAGGCCTATTGCTTTATGCTATGTAGCTTATAAAATTTTCTCAAAAGTCATGGCTAATCGTTTGAAGGGTATCCTTGACTCTCTGGTGGGTGAAAACGAGAGTGCATTCATTCCTGGGCAGTCTATTGTGGATAATATTATTATAGCTTTTGAAACTCAGCATTTCCTAAAGCGTAAAGGTCATGGGAAAGAAGGTTACATAGCTCTAAAATTGGATATGAGTAAAGCCTATGATCGGGTTGACTAGGTGTTTCTCCGTAATACTCTACTTCGAATGAGTTTTTAGAATCGGTGGGTCCATATGGTTATGGCATGCGTGACTACGACTGCTTACTATGCTCAATTTGATAATGATTTTCTTGGTCCCATCATTCCTGTCAGGGGTCTAAGACAGTGAGACCCCATTTCTCCTAATTTATTTATTTTGGTGGCGGAGGTGTTGAGCGCTCTTTTAAGGAGAGCATAGATGCGTGGTGATATTCATGGGCAGGCTATCTGCAAAGGGGTGCCGAAGGTGTCCCACCTACTTTTTGTCGATGACAATTTCTTATTTTTTAAGGCGAATAATAACGAATGTAATGTGATAAAAAAGATTTTGTAGGCATGCATATGAAAGTGCCTTGGGACAGGCGATTAATTATGAAAAATCAACTTTGGCATTCAGCCCAAATGATGAGATACTACGCTGGAGAATTGCAGTACTGTTTTGAGCATTCCAGGGGATGGTGGTCAAAATCGGTATCTTGATTTACCTTCTCTGTGGGCAAAGGTACGTAAACTATCTTGGGCTACTTGCGTGATAAATTTTTTTGTTGAATTAAGAGCTGGAATAACAGATTCCTCTCAAGAGCGGGTAGGGCGGTGTTGCTTCATAATGTTATTCAAGCAATGCCAACTTATGCGATGAATGTTTTCCTGCTAACACGGGTTTTGTGTGATGAGACATGATTGAAAAACTTATGAATAAGTTCTGGTGGAAGGGTTCAAAATTTGATCAAAATAAAGGGTCTCAGATGGCGGAGGTGGGAATAATGGAATATCTTTGTAAACCAAAGGGAGCCGGCGGGTTTTTGGAAGGACACTATGTTAACTGTGCTTCTAGTATGCTAAATACTTGGCAAGATGCGCAATGTTTGACTGTAAAAAGGAAGACTTCTAGAGGTAATGGAATTGAGAGGAGGCATCGACCAAAGGAGGGGTATATATCAAGATAAATGTGGATGCAGCTGTCAACATGAGTGGTGGCATTCGATCTTGGGGTTTGGTTGCTCGGAATGATCAAGGAGATTTTATCAAAGCAGGTAGTGAGTCGAGCCAAGTAGACGGGTCCCCAGCTGAGACAAAGGCGTTTGGGATACGCGCGGCCATTCAAGTTGCTATTCAAAAACTGACGACAAAAAGGTTGGCAGAACGTTGAGTTTGAATTAAATGCTTTCACCATCGTTCAAAGGATAAATAACTGGGAGGTTTATCTTATATTGACATGATTACTGACGACATTAGACATTTTCTTCAGACAAAGAATAATACTAGTATCTCTTTTTATAAACGATCTGTGAATCGTGTTGCCGATACGATAACTAAGAAGAACGTGTTCCTCTTGGATCATAGAGTTGTCTGACTTCATTCCTGATTTTATTGTAGCCCAGATGCCAAACAATTTATTGATTTAATTGAATATATTATGCATGTTTTCTATATAAAAAAAACCATTTTGGAATTGTCCGACACTCCCACTCACTCCCACTACCAACGCCCCACGCAAAATTGCCAACAAAGTGCGCACTAATATCGTTGGAGTAAAAACTGCCGTTCTGCGAAATGAGTTTCGTGTGAGCTACTCCAAAGTAACATGTACTACGTATATACATAATAAATAAAATAACGGCAATTATTCATTAACCTGAGTTGTCATCAGCTCCTTTAATTTTCTGGCGTTGGTAGTGGAAGATGTAAATGGTTAACGAGTCTGATTGGATATTTGGATCTCTATAGAGTAAGCGTCAGTTTTTTTTGGGATCTCAGTATTTTCATAAGATTTTATTATTATTTTTAATTCAGTTCAATTTTATTGTTTTTTTAATTCTATTTAATACAATTTGGAAGAAATATCATAAAACTCAAATGATATTGGTTTTGTTGCGATTCGATTTAACTCGATTCAATACAGTTTGATACCTGTATGGCTGTTCATCTTTTTATATGACGAATCCAAAGTATGAATTAGCTAGAGAATTAGTTTAAATATTATGTAGGGAGCATTAATTATACTTTGAGTCAGTTGGTCACGCTTCACCAATTCCATAAGCAACCAAATATTGAAGCTGAGTTGAGAAAATTTCCCCCCTTTAATATGGTACTCCCCGTCCCCAATTATAAGATATTTTTCGCTTTACGATGTTTGACCAACGATAAAGTAAACGGATCCCTATGTGCATTCAACTTAATTTTAGAAAAAAAGAATTACATATTCGGAAACTACATTAAAACTGCTACAAAACCTGCAAAAAATAATTCAAATTTCATAAAATTTTGATATATAAAGTAAGTGAATAGTAAAGACATCTTATAAAATGGGACAGAGGGAGTAATATATACCGTACAGCCGGCTGTACCTAGGACATGGTACAGTCGGGTTTTGTTTGTAATTAAATCCAAGTTGTTCTAGGGTAAAAGTTAGGTTGATGGCTGATGCTTCTTTCCTTTTCCCCGCTGCTCTTCGATTGCTTTTCCTTTCTTTTTTCGCTGACGGCGGCTATACTCCTTTTTTTGTTTTCTCTTTTCTTTTCATTGCTATTCACTTATATATCTTGCTAATCGTTGTTTTCTCTTTTCAGTTTTCTTTGTTTTTTGTTGTTTTCTTGTTTTAGTTCTTTCTTTTACAAACCTCAACCACACAATTTTTACATTATTAATAAAGTGATTAAAATAAAATGCACAAATAACATTGTGACTTTTTATATGGATGGCAGGTGGTTGGCAGTAGTGACTAAGCTAATAATGTTATTTCCTTTTTCGACTGTTTACTTGAATTCATTTTTTGTTACAATTCAATACAAAAAGTTTAATTCATCGCTCTAGTTTACATAGTAATCACATGACACTTTTAATGAAAAAACTAAATATAGCTACACCATTTATAGAAATAAAATAAATATGAACTCTTAGCAATACTTGGAATATATTCATATTTATTCTAATTATGTATATTTTAAAGTTTTCTCTTTTTTATTTTTATTTTTCATCTTTATTATATACTCCGTGTCATTTATTTACTTTTTATGATTCATAATGATAAATTAGAATGTTTTTACTTGGACTGTAATTTTCAGAGTCTAGTCTGATCTCATCCGGTCGATCTGGTTTCTTTATATTTTTATAACTATCCAAGTGTAGTCTGGTCTGGTCTAATCTGGTCTGGGACAAATTATGGTCGAAGTAAAACATCCTCATATGGAAAAACAAAGAACCTAACACTGCAAAGTTTGCTTTCATGTTGTTCTAATTTCTTTCGTTGGATATATATATTTGAAATGCTTTTATATGCTTTTTGTTTCTTTTATATGTTTCAATTTTAAATAGTGTATACAAAAAATAAAAAGTGTGGAAAGTGAACATAATTGAGAGGGCCATGAGAACAGTCAGTTAAAGTTTACAATGAAACTTAATTTATTACGTAGTAAAAAATTAAAGTTAATTACTTCCGCTATATATTTTTACGTGCTGATATTTATTATTTTCATGATTATATAAGTCGCAATTCATAAGTTACATTCTTTCTTTTTATATCGCTCATTTGGTTTTTTATTTTTATTCATGAATTTTTTATCAAGTTTAGTAGCTTTATTTATTTACCTGCATGAAAAACTTGAGGTATTTTTCCATAAATATTATTTTTTATCAATAATTACTCCCTCCATAATACATTTGGGATGACCAAATAGAAAATTTGAAAGTTTAATTAGAGACAAATTGAAGGAATACTAGACTAAATTCAAAAGACAAAAATATGAATCATTTTGATTTTTTCAAAAAAAGTATACTATTTAGTGATTAATTGTCAGTGACTCATCATTTACCAGTCAATTGTCACTCAAAATATACTAATAACACTATAGAAAGTCTTGTCTAGGTATTCATACGATAGTATACAACAACAAATCATATTTTTATACAAAAAATAATTATACATATTTTTATCCAAAGAAACTCTATTAAATAATGTCATTTTTACAAAACTAATGGAGCATGTAAAAATTAAGGTCATGCCGTATGCGCTATGCATATGGCCATACGGAGTAAGAATCAACTTATTTATAGATCTTAATTAACTCATAAGCGCTCTCCAATTACTTCTCCCTCTCTAAATGACTTCATAGCAAAAAGCCCTTCCAACAAAATTACCAATCTACCCATGCCGGACCCCTACACCACCAGCACCACCACCGTCTTCGGCCGGGGCACTCGGATACGGGGGAGACGCCGGATATTTTGTCTCCGGCGACGCCGGAAGCAGCCGACGGCGAGGCTAGGAGGGGAGAAGAAGCCGCGCCGGAGAGGGCTGTTTATGGTGAAGCTCTTCAGAAGAGTGAGAGTGAATTGGAAGTGGAATTACTACTCAAGCTTGCTGAAGAAGATGAAGGCTTTCTGCCAATCTCTGATGAAAGATGAACTGGCTGAGTACGGCGGAGCGATTGAGTATTCATTCCAGCAACGGCTTTTTATGGAGGCGTCTTTTGCCGTTCCGGTGGGGATGGGACTTCCTTTAAACTCATTTCATCCCCGGTAATCCAATGCCGGAACATTACTTCTACACATCAAGTGCATTTTATTGATTCCTGATCTGTAATTTCCTAATACTTTATCTCCTAAATCACAAAGAAATTACTCCGTCTCTAATTCGCATTTTATATGGGGAGAAAAATACGGTTCATGATTTTTTTAATTAAAAAGTGTAACAATAAGGTATACACTACAGAATTAAAAAAAAACTATATACCAATAAAAGAAAAACTCATAATTATGATACTAAACCAAAACATGCTTGAAAAATTAAAAGAAAAATACTGAAATTGCGACCAACGGACCATTTTCCTTTTTGGTAGCCGCAAATGTCCATGGCAAGTTGGGAAGAGCAACCTGACCCTATCCGATTGATCTGACCGGATATATCCGATTTTTTTGGGTCGGATAACTCGACCTGAATGATCCAAACTCGATCCGATTCTTGCAGCCCGGGAGTTAAGCGGGTGGCGGGTTGGGTTACCAATTGTGCTACCCAACCCGCCCGACCACGTGAATGTTTTGTGAACTATGTAACCTCACTAATTTGTACTTCATAATTCGTACACAAGTAATTGTATGTCTTGTAATGTTTGATCCGTAATATGTAATACGGAGTAGGTTTTTTTGAACAAATTGAATTCTCAAATCTGTAAAGTTTTTGAACTATTTAAAACCCGATTCAGAGATGCAAAGCCAACTACACATTTGTTTATGTTGTACTGTTTTTTTGAACAAAATATAATCAACAAGTTTTTTGAAGTATTTAAACCTGATTGAACCCGCAACCCACCCGAAACCCGATCCCTACCCCAAATTATTATGAACCGACATTTTCACTTTAAATATACATAGGGTCGGACGTCCAATTTCCCTATCCGAAACCCGATAGGGTCTTGTGTTTCCCAACCCAACCGACCTGAACCCGACCGATGCCCCCCCTAATGGCAAGGAGAACATTCGGGCAAAATGAATGGATAACAAGATCCAAATTTTGATCCAAAAAGTTGGAAATTAGATGGGAAACTTCGTCCTCGGATGGAGAGCAGGGCGGATCCAGGAATTATAGTTATTGGGGGCACTTTTTTGAAAAATGTGGATAAACAATTGGATAACAAACACTTCCACCGTTTCGTTTTAGTTGCAATGTTTCCATTTTCACGTTTTCCAGAAAATGGCCATTAATATATTTCAATTTTTATTAGTGAAAAAATTAGGAATTAGAATTTGAAAATAGAAAATGAGAAGAAATTAATACTATTTTTCAAAATTAAAATTTTAATACACCAACAAATAAAATGTAGTCAAAGTAGACGTTTTAGTAATATAAAATTCAACATGTTGTAATTAAAAAAGAACGAAAGTTGTATAAATTAATTTCAAAAACTGGCAAAGTCAATTATAATTTCATTCATTTACTCGTGTTTTGTACATATTACAATGAACAACTAATAATCCAAACTTTTAGCAATCTTCTTACAATAGTTCCACCTTTTCGTTATTCAAGAATAATCTAACCTTTGCACCCCATCTTCATTCGTTGGTCCCTGACCGGTTAATGACATGCTATTCCAAGTTATTTTCTTATCTTTGTAAAATATTATCTTTGTGAAAGGTGAGATTTATGGTATAATGGTTTGCAAAGATAAGAAAATAACTTGGAATAGCGGGTCATCAACCGATCAGGGACCAGTGAATGAAGATGGGGTGCAAAGGTTGGATTATTTATGAATAACGAAAAGGTGAAACTATTATAAGAAGACCGTCAAAATGTTTGATTATTAGTTTCCATTTTCCCTTTAACTTTCTTACGATAAAAAAAACTTTTTAACTTTCTTCTTAAAAATGAACAAATTAATTTTGGACGGTGAATCTGTTGTGGATACTGTTTTAACTATCCAAGAGTATGTTGAATAGTTGGGGTTAGATCATATCACTAAATTAAATATTTTAAAATTATACGGAGTACTTCCTCCGTAACATTCATATCTTCCCACTTTCCTTTTTTGGACGTAACATTTATATCTTCCCATTTCTAAATCTTCCCATAATACCCTCAATAATTCAAAAAATAATACACTACTACACCTACTTTTTTTGGATTTATCCTTCATTCCATCACATTATTTCACCATCTTCCCATCATACCCTCAATAATTCATACTCTATTTCACTATTCTTAATCTCACCCACTTTGGAAGTGGGAAGATATATCTGATAGGGAGGGAGTATATTAGATGGGACATCGGGATGGGCTTGCCGAGTGTACTCCACATTTGCTGCTTTGAACACCAATTCTCTATACTCCGTATTTGAGTCCGTATAAATTAATGGGGGCATCAAGTTTTTGGATTGGGGGCACTACCTTCTTTTGTCAATAATACATATTCATATTACACTAAAGTTATGAACTTTATTGGGGGCATGTGCCCCCATTGATTACATGGTGAATCCGCCCCTTGATTTGGAGAGGCTCAATGCATCCTTCTTTTGAACAAACAAGATCCAAATTTTAAAGGATAAACAAAAAAACAATTCGTTTTTGAACATGTTTTTTTTGGCTGGTCTGCAACCTTTCAATACTCCATAAGAATGTTTTTACTTAGACTTTTTTCAGTCCCAGATCAGATCGTATCAGACCTGACCAGACTTGGATAGTTATAAAAATACAAAGAGGCCAGACATTACATGACCAGACCAGTTTAGACCAGACCAGACCAGACCAGACCAGACCAACAAATTCGAGTCCAAGTAAAAGCATCCTAACAGCGCATGAAGCAAGTACATCTCTTTTACTTCTATTGCTAATGGCAGATTAGACTATCACAACATTTTTTTTCTTGGTTATAACCTTAATAATAAGGTGGAAAATGGGGCTACGAATGGCTGTTTTCCGAAATCTTTGAGAGTGCGTTGTGCCACCTCCCTGGCTTGTGTTATTAGTATCTACTAGTATTGTACCATGCGATGCATGAAATACTAATATATTTATATTTTGTATCCATTAAAATTTTCAATATGGTAAAAAGATGAAAATATAAGTGCTCTACAACAAAAAATAAACTACACATTATGAAAGGTTTATATATAGATACACACATCAATTGTACATGAAAGTGCTTAGTGTGCCATCAATGTTATTTATCAATATTTTGAATATCTCACATTTGGTGACTTAGGACACTATGTCACTATAACATATATGTAGTTGGTTGTGACAAAAATAGACATTTCTATAATCAGTTTGAGAAAAATATATATTATCCTTGACTCATGCTAAAATCTAAATGACATTCTGACAAATAGAGCGACTATGACTATAGTTTTTATTATAATGTAAATATTGAACACATGTGATTATGATTAAGGTTACTACTATAATTACTTAACTTAAAAAGTCACATTAAAAAACATTTGTAATCATAAATATGCAATTACCTTTATTTATTTCAATACAAAAGTACATATTGTTAAATTAGTGGACAATCTTAATATACGGAGGACTGCGTAATTTTAGAAAAGTGATTTTTCCCTTTTAGTTTAAAAAACCTGGAATTAAACCCTTAAAAGCTAAAAGTTAGAAACTGTTTTTTACGTTTTCTATTACACAAAAGTACATATTTTACCAAACACTATCAACTTTTACTATTAAACATTTTCTTCAAAATCACGTTAAAAAGTCACTTTTCATAAACCAAAAAAAATTGCAAACCCTCTCTAAGGCCGCTACTTTACTAATTCTTTCTACGATTATAATCGAGTGATCGACCATAGTCACCACACCCCCGAAGGCTCTGGTGTCTGCAATTCACCGTTTACCTCCCCCCAACAACGTATTCATTTTTAGCTCTCCATGTTCATTGAATCTCCACGCCCTCAAATAGTCAAATCCTATCATTTTTAAACAAAAATTATGTGATGCTTCAATTATCCAGACATGACCCAATTGTTAATTGCTATTATCATGGAGTTTGATTTTTGGATACCTGTACTACATCCGTCCCATTAGAAGGTTCTCGTCCACTATTCACATGGTCAACTTAAATTACTTTTAATCTTTCACTTTATATATCAAATTTTTATCAAATTTCTATTTTTTATCAGACTTTGTAGCGGTTTTAATGTAGTTTCTAAATATGTAAATTTTATTTACTAAAAATAATCAAAATGTGAATAGGGATTAAATTGCTTTATCGTCAGTCAAGTATCGTAAACCGTTCACGGGAACCTTATAGGTAATTAAACATCAAATGAATTTCCTACATTAGATAAGATATTTGTTTGATTCGAATATAATTTTCCAGGCAACCTTAAATTATTATGCCGTGCGCTGGTGTGTAGAAATTATACTCCGAATGTTTTTTATGCCGTGCGCTGGTATGTATTACTACGTAGTATTCTAATACATAGGTATAATAGAATACTTTTATAAGTTAGGTTATTAGAGACTCATTAAATAGTCCATTTGTAGATAGATACCTGGAATTGTTTTTTATTGCACGGTTAGAGTCCATCTTCCATAACGTGTATATGTAATTTATAGAGCAATGTGGTACCGATTGAAAGTTTGAAATTGTTGAGGTTAAAAAGGCAACGAATTCAAGGGTCGCTTATTTGCCCGTTCGGAAAAGGCAACGAATCCAAGCGTCGCTTATTTGCCGATCCTTAACTTTGAGGCGAGAACTGTTATGTCTTGGTTTCCCTTCATATTAGTATAGATAAGGCCGATTGCATTTGGGTTGTAGTTAGTATAAGGCTATAATAGGAATTATGAAATAGCTTTATTTATTACGGTGAATAAGGAATTTATATGGTAATTATGTCGCTCTAAATAAACCTACTTATTATTAGATCATCATTGGTTTGCCAAACGTTCAGAATATAGTGGTGTGTTAGTCCCACTCAAGAAAGCCCATATTTGGCTCTGTGGCATACAGATTAAATTACTCCGTACTATATACAAAAAGATACTAACTTTGTCCCACTCTACAAGTTGATGTTGAGTATGAAATTAGAATATTGAAAACTGTGTGATTGAAGTTTGTGCAGATGAGAGAGAAATGAGTGGAGCCACAAATGAACGAAGTAATTAATCTAGTACTTCAAATGAAAAACGCTCATTTAAGCGGTTCAGC